TTTTTCAAATTAAAACCATATCATTTCTTAAAGCGCACATAAAAACTGTTTATGTTATGAGTAATAATTTTTAACGAACTTAATAATAAAGTTCTTATTTTGAATTCAAAAATATTCTGATTAGTTAGTATGAGAATAAATTGATATGATTTAATCAAACTAACCTCAAGAAAATCTAATTTTGCAATCAGCATAATGAAATGCAAAACCAAAAAAAATAATAATTTTTAATCGTAAACAAATATGAACTTTATTGTCATAATATATATATTCATCAAATATATTTTGCAAATTGATAAGAAAATTGGAAACATAATATTGGGCTTAACGTCTTCGCCAAATTGTGAATTCGCCATTTTGTAAAGTAAAATTGAGAGGAAAACGATAATCCCAAAATAAAAATAATAGACCCTATCTTAAAATCATGAAGAATATCACACAATAAAAATGTTAGACTCTTTATTAATAAAAAACGAGAATTCCACAAAATAAAAATAACAGACCCTTTTATATGGTTTCGAAATTGAAAAATGGCGAATTCGCCAAAAAATTAGAAGTGGCGCAATTCGCCATTTTGCGAACTTTTTTTTAAATCCCTAGGCCAAACACATTTTATTTCTTGAACTCACCTTCGGTTAAAATAATTATTCATTGATCATTAACTTGTTATCTAGATACTTGCTAACCAGATATAATGTATAATCCTAACAATACCTGGTTATCTATATAGAATTCTGTATTGTGCTTTGTGGAAAATAATGAATAATTTAACATTTTGGAAAACAATAATTTGGATTTGCTGTACGCTTGAGCTTCATCCCATATGCCCAGAGCAATTGCTTTCAGTCAAAAAGAAGCACAATAATTTTCAATTAATTACATCCATTATTTCCAGTTAATGCTATCACACATAATATGTGACATATTATTCAATTCTTTTATAATATGTTCAAATATGTGAACATAAAGTCGATCGATTTTTCCTATAAAAAATCTATGCAATTTTTAATTTTTCCGACGATAACATATAGCCATGGTTAATATTATATCATATTAAGAAGAAAATTTTTAATAGAATCTAAGATCTAATTCTATAAGTCTCATCACACTTTTCAATGCTCGATTTTTAAAAACTGTTTAAAAATGGAGCTTATATTGAAATAGTGTAGAGACTAAAAATTACCACAGACTATTTCAGAGGATTGAGTGGCAACTCAATCCTCTGAAAAGTCTGAGGTAATTTGCAAAATTCTCAGATTGGAGTGAATTGGAATCTCAAATTATTTTCAAAATAATTTACAAGCCCATAAAAAGTATCTTAGTTTCTCTATTATTTACAAAAATCATCTAGCGTTTTCAAATTACTTTTTCAGAAGTTCCTTTATTTCTACCGAACTTTAAGAAGTTTACATAACACACTTATTTTATTGTTCAAATTACTTATAATATTATAATTGCAAATATGCAATCGACCAACTTTTTACTCTTATAATTTTTTCTGAGATTGTTGATGCTATTATCATATAAGTTAAAACACCAACTTATTATTTCTATAATATTCAAAACGTTTTGACTTATCCAATTCAAAAATCTTATCTTGAATTAATCCCATATACTTATTTTATCTTGTTCTCTCTAATATCCTTTTTTTACATTATTTATGGTGAAATATCCTTTTTCACATTATTTTCCAAACCAAGCTGCTGAGCCCTATACTGCATCTGGGCGACAAAAAATTACATCTAATGGGAATGCCTTTATTCGCAGATCTGAATTTATTGAGGTTGGAACAAATGATTATAGTAATTAGGAATCCCTTCATGGCGGCGCGATTTATTGCTCGATTCGCCTTGCTCTAGTACTTTGCAAATTTTATAATACATGGGCCCCTTATTCTGGCGGAGCAGTCTATGTTGATGGTTCAGAGAACGCCGAATTTTACGTATCTCAATGTACTTTTGATACTAGTAATACTTATGATGAAACATATAATGATGACCATAAAGGCCAATTTATACGATCAAATGTAATAGATATTCAAAAATTAATGGCATATCTGAAATCAGCGTTTCTCATAATAGTCGACGTTTCAAGGCAGATAGCGTACAACGCCCAATATTTTTATATAAAGGGTCCATTATTTTCAAAAATGTTAATATTTCGGATATGGAAGTTGGATTTTGCAGTGGATTTGCAATTGAAGCAGATTCAGAAGTTAATAAGATCAATTTAGATGAGAATTATGTTTCGTATATAAATTTACAAAATTTACATTCTATATCTGTTATCGCTGAGTTCAAATTCGTTTCAGGTACAATAAAATACATAAATGTTAATTATTGTTCTGACCAAGAACAATATGGTCTCAGGTATTTCAATTTAGATAATAGTCAAATTACATTCCAGAATTTTGCTTTATACGATTGTCAAAATAAAATTACAGATCCAAATGGTTATAATATTACTAGTTATACCCATGGAACTTCAACAAGTCGCTTGAATGTTGATACATACTACATTCAAGAGCATTATAATGTTAATACCGACTATAAATCAAATAATATTTTAGAAGAAACATCTTTCCAAACAGCATATTTTGATGAGGATACCAGGTCACGCATTATTGAAGAGGAGGATATAGTTGTGACATCTTCATCATCTTCATCATCGTCAAGTGAAGAAACATCATCATCTTCATCATCGTCAAGTGAAGAAACAACAACATCATCATCATCATCATCTAGTGAAGAGACAACAACATCTTCATCTTCATCATCATCGTTAAGTGAAGAAACATCATCATCTTCATCATCATCTAGTGAAGAAACAACATCATCTTCATCATCATCTAGTGAAGAGGCAACAACATCTTCATCTTTATCATCATCGTCATCTAGTGAAGAAACATCATCATCTTCATCATCGTCAAGTGAAGAAACAACATCATCTTCATCATCATCTAGTGACGAGACAACAACATCTTCATCTTTATCATCATCGTCAAGTGAAGAAACATCATCATCTTCATCATCATCGTCAAGTGAAGAAACATCATCATCTTCATCATCATCGTCAAGTGAAGAAACATCATCATCTTCATCATCATCTAGTGAAGAGACAACAACATCATCATCTTCATCATCATCATCTAGTGAAGAGACAACATCATCTTCATCATCATCATCTAGTGAAGAAACAACATCATCTTCATCATCATCTAGTGAAGAGGCAACAACATCTTCATCTTCATCATCGTCATCTAGTGAAGAAACAACATCATCATCGTCAAGTGAAGAAACATCATCATCTTCATCATCATCGTCAAGTGAAGAAACATCATCATCTTCATCATCATCTAGTGAAGAGGCAATAACATCTTCATCTTCATCATCGTCATCTAGTGAAGAAACAACATCATCTTCATCATCATCTAGTGAAGAGACAACAACATCTTCATCATCATCATCTAGTGAAGAAACATCATCATCTTCATCATCATCTAGTGAAGAGGCAACAACAACATCATCATCGTCAAGTGAAGAAACATCTTCATCATCATCATCTAGTGACGAGACAACAACATCTTCATCATCATCATCTAGTGAAGAAACATCATCATCTTCATCATCATCATCTAGTGAAGAAACAACAACATCATCATCATCTAGTGACGAGACAACAACATCTTCATCTTCATCATCATCTAGTGAAGAAACAACAACATCATCATCATCATCAAGTGAAGAAACAACATCATCATCGTCAAGTGAAGAAACATCATCATCTTCATCATCATCATCTAGTGAAGAAACAACATCATCTTCATCATCATCTAGTGACGAGACAACAACATCTTCATCTTTATCATCATCGTCAAGTGAAGAGACAACATCATCTTCATCATCATCTAGTGAAGAGACAACAACATCTTCATCTTCATCATCATCTAGTGAAGAGACATCATCATCTTCATCATCATCTAATGACGAGACAACAACATCTTCATCTTCATCATCATCGTCAAGTGAAGAGACAACATCATCTTCAGCATCATCTAGTGACGAGACAACAACATCTTCATCTTCATCATCATCGTCAAGTGAAGAGACAACATCATCTTCATCATCATCTAGTGAAGAAACAACAACATCATCATCATCTAGTGACGAGACAACAACATCTTCATCTTCATCATCATCGTCAAGTGAGAGACAACATCATCTTCATCATCATCTAGTGAAGAGCAATAACATCTTCATCTTCATCATCGTCATCTAGTGAAGAAACAACATCATCTTCATCATCATCTAGTGAAGAGACAACAACATCTTCATCTTTATCATCATCGTCAGGTGAAGAACAACATCATCTTCATCATCATCTAGTGAAGAGGCAACAACATCATCTTCATCGTCAAGTGAAGAAACAACATCTTCATCATCATCATCTAGTGACGAGACAACAACATCTTCATCATCATCATCTAGTGAAGAAACATCATCATCTTCATCATCATCTAGTGAAGAAACAACAACATCATCATCATCTAGTGACGAGACAACAACATCTTCATCTTCATCATCATCGTCAGTGAAGAAACATCATCATCTTCATCATCATCTAGTGACGAGACAACAACATTCATCTTCATCATCATCTAGTGAGACAACAACATCTTCATCTTTCATCATCGTCAGTGAAGAAACATCATCATCATCATCATCGTCAAGTGAAGAAACATCATCATCTTCATCATAATCTAGTGAAGAGACAACAACATCATCATCTTCATCATCATCTAGTGAAGAGACAACATCATCTTCATCATCATCATCTAGTGAAGAAACAACATCATCTTCATCATCATCTAGTGAAGAGGCAACAACATCTTCATCTTCATCATCGTCATCTAGTGAAGAAACACATCATCATCGTCAGTGAAGAAACATCATCATCTTCATCATCATCGTCAAGTGAAGAAAACATCATCATCTTCATCATCATCTAGTGAGAACAACAACATCATCATCTTCATCATCATCTAGTGAAGAGACAACAACATCTTCATCATCATCATCTAGTGAAGAAACATCATCATCTTCATCATCATCTAGTGACGAGACAACAACATCTTCATCATCATCATCTAGTGAAGAAACATCATCATCTTCATCATCATCTAGTGAAGAGGCAATAACATCTTCATCTTCATCATCGTCATCTAGTGAAGAAACAACATCATCTTCATCATCATCTAGTGAAGAGACAACAACATCTTCATCTTTATCATCATCGTCAGGTGAAGAAACATCATCATCTTCATCATCATCTAGTGAAGAGGCAACAACATCATCATCATCGTCAAGTGAAGAAACATCTTCATCATCATCATCTAGTGACGAGACAACAACATCTTCATCATCATCATCTAGTGAAGAAACATCATCATCTTCATCATCATCTAATGACGAGACAACAACATCTTCATCTTCATCATCATCGTCAAGTGAAGAGACAACATCATCTTCAGCATCATCTAGTGACGAGACAACAACATCTTCATCTTCATCATCATCGTCAAGTGAAGAGACAACATCATCTTCATCATCATCTAGTGAAGAAACAACAACATCATCATCATCTAGTGACGAGACAACATATCTTCTCATCATCTAGTGAAGAGGCAAAACATCTTCATCTTCATCATCGTCATTAGTGAAGAAACAACATCATCTTCATCATCATCTAGTGAAGAGACAAAACATCTTCATCTTTATCATCATCGTCAGGTGAAGAAATCATCATCTTCATCATCATCTAGTGAAGAGGCAACAACATCATCATCATCGTCAAGTGAAGAAACATCTTCATCATCATCATCTAGTGACGAGACAACAACATCTTCATCATCATCATCTAGTGAAGAAACATCATCATCTTCATCATCATCTAGTGAAGAAACAACAACATCATCATCATCTAGTGACGAGACAACAACATCTTCATCTTTATCATCATCGTCATCTAGTGAAGAAACATCATCATCTTCATCATCGTCAAGTGAAGAAACAACATCATCTTCATCATCATCTAGTGACGAGACAACAACATCTTCATCTTTATCATCATCGTCAAGTGAAGAAACATCATCATCTTCATCATCATCGTCAAGTGAAGAAACATCATCATCTTCATCATCATCTAGTGAAGAGACAACAACATCAATCTTCATCATCATCTAGTGAAGAGACAACATCATCTTCATCATCATCATCTAGTGAAGAAACAACATCATCTTCATCATCATCTAGTGAAGAGGCAACAACATCTTCATCTTCATCATCGTCATCTAGTGAAGAAACAACATCATCATCGTCAAGTGAAGAAACATCATCATCTTCATCATCATCGTCAAGTGAAGAAACATCATCATCTTCATCATCATCTAGTGAAGAGACAACAACATCTTCATCTTCATCATCATCTAGTGAAGAGACAACAACATCTTCATCATCATCATCTAGTGAAGAAACATCATCTTCATCATCATCTAGTGACGAGACAACATCTTCATCTTCATCATCATCGTCCAGTGAAGAAACATCATCATCTTCATCATCATCATCTAGTGAAGAAACAACAACATCATCATCGTCAAGTGAAGAAACATCATCATCTTCATCATCATCGTCAAGTGAAGAAACATCATCATCTTCATCATCATCGTCAAGTGAAGAAACATCATCATCTTCATCATCATCTAGTGAAGAGACAACAACATCATCATCTTCATCATCATCTAGTGAAGAGACAACATCATCTTCATCATCATCATCTAGTGAAGAAACAACATCATCTTCATCATCATCTAGTGAAGAGGCAACAACATCTTCATCTTCATCATCGTCATCTAGTGAAGAAACAACATCATCATCGTCAAGTGAAGAAACATCATCATCTTCATCATCATCGTCAAGTGAAGAAACATCATCATCTTCATCATCATCTAGTGAAGAGACAACAACATCTTCATCATCATCATCTAGTGAAGAAACATCATCATCTTCATCATCATCTAGTGACGAGACAACAACATCTTCATCTTCATCATCATCGTCCAGTGAAGAAACATCATCATCTTCATCATCATCTAGTGAAGAAACAACAACATCATCATCGTCAAGTGAAGAAACATCATCATCTTCATCATCATCGTCAAGTGAAGAAACATCATCATCTTCATCATCATCGTCAAGTGAAGAAACATCATCATCTTCATCATCATCTAGTGAAGAGACAACAACATCATCATCTTCATCATCATCTAGTGAAGAGACAACATCATCTTCATCATCATCATCTAGTGAAGAAACAACATCATCTTCATCATCATCTAGTGAAGAGGCAACAACATCTTCATCTTCATCATCGTCATCTAGTGAAGAAACAACATCATCATCGTCAAGTGAAGAAACATCATCATCTTCATCATCATCGTCAAGTGAAGAAACATCATCATCTTCATCATCATCTAGTGAAGAGACAACAACATCTTCATCTTCATCATCATCTAGTGAAGAGACAACAACATCTTCATCATCATCATCTAGTGAAGAAACATCATCATCTTCATCATCATCTAGTGACGAGACAACAACATCTTCATCATCATCATCTAGTGAAGAAACATCATCATCTTCATCATCATCTAGTGAAGAGGCAATAACATCTTCATCTTCATCATCGTCATCTAGTGAAGAAACAACATCATCTTCATCATCATCTAGTGAAGAGACAACAACATCTTCATCTTTATCATCATCGTCAGGTGAAGAAACATCATCATCTTCATCATCATCTAGTGAAGAGGCAACAACATCATCATCATCGTCAAGTGAAGAAACATCTTCATCATCATCATCTAGTGACGAGACAACAACATCTTCATCATCATCATCTAGTGAAGAAACATCATCATCTTCATCATCATCTAGTGAAGAAACAACAACATCATCATCATCTAATGACGAGACAACAACATCTTCATCTTCATCATCATCGTCAAGTGAAGAGACAACATCATCTTCAGCATCATCTAGTGACGAGACAACAACATCTTCATCTTCATCATCATCGTCAAGTGAAGAGACAACATCATCTTCATCATCATCTAGTGAAGAAACAACAACATCATCATCATCTAGTGACGAGACAACAACATCTTCATCTTCATCATCATCGTCAAGTGACGAGACAACATCATCTTCATCATCATCTAGTGAAGAGGCAATAACATCTTCATCTTCATCATCGTCATCTAGTGAAGAAACAACATCATCTTCATCATCATCTAGTGAAGAGACAACAACATCTTCATCTTTATCATCATCGTCAGGTGAAGAAACATCATCATCTTCATCATCATCTAGTGAAGAGGCAACAACATCATCATCATCGTCAAGTGAAGAAACATCTTCATCATCATCATCTAGTGACGAGACAACAACATCTTCATCATCATCATCTAGTGAAGAAACATCATCATCTTCATCATCATCTAGTGAAGAAACAACAACATCATCATCATCTAGTGACGAGACAACAACATCTTCATCTTCATCATCATCGTCCAGTGAAGAAACATCATCATCTTCATCATCGTCATCTAGTGAAGAAACAACATCATCTTCATCATCATCTAGTGACGAGACAACAACATCTTCATCTTTATCATCATCGTCAAGTGAAGAAACATCATCATCTTCATCATCATCGTCAAGTGAAGAAACATCATCATCTTCATCATCATCTAGTGAAGAGACAACAACATCATCATCTTCATCATCATCTAGTGAAGAGACAACATCATCTTCATCATCATCATCTAGTGAAGAAACAACATCATCTTCATCATCATCTAGTGAAGAGGCAACAACATCTTCATCTTCATCATCGTCATCTAGTGAAGAAAACAACATCATCATCGTCAAGTGAAGAAACATCATCATTCATCATCATCTAGTGAAGAGACAACAACATCTTCATCTTCATCATCATCTAGTGAAGAGACAACAACATCTTCATCATCATCATCTAGTGAAAACATCATCATCTTCATCATCATCTAGTGACGAGACAACAACATCTTCATCTTCATCATCATCGTCAAGTGACGAGACAACATCATCTTCATCATCATCTAGTGACGAGACAACAACATCTTCATCTTTATCATCATCGTCAAGTGAAGAAACATCATCATCTTCATCATCATCGTCAAGTGAAGAAACATCATCATCTTCATCATAATCTAGTGAAGAGACAACAACATCATCATCTTCATCATCATCTAGTGAAGAGACAACATCATCTTCATCATCATCATCTAGTGAAGAAACAACATCATCTTCATCATCATCTAGTGAAGAGGCAACAACATCTTCATCTTCATCATCGTCATCTAGTGAAGAAACAACATCATCATCGTCAAGTGAAGAAACATCATCATCTTCATCATCATCGTCAAGTGAAGAAACATCATCATCTTCATCATCATCTAGTGAAGAGACAACAACATCATCATCTTCATCATCATCTAGTGAAGAGACAACAACATCTTCATCATCATCATCTAGTGAAGAAACTCATCATCTTCATCATCATCTAGTGACGAGACAACAACATCTTCATCATCATCATCTAGTGAAGAAACATCATCATCTTCATCATCATCTAGTGAAGAGGCAATAACATCTTCATCTTCATCATCGTCATCTAGTGAAGAAACAACATCATCTTCATCATCATCTAGTGAAGAGACAACAACATCTTCATCTTTATCATCAATCAGTGAAGAAACATCATCATCATTTCAATTCATCTAGTGAAGAGGACAACAACATCATCATCATCATCATCAAGTGAAGAAACATCTTCATCTTCATCATCTAATGACGAGACAACAACATCTTCATCATCATCATCGTAGTGAAGAACATCATCATCTTCATCATCATCTATGACGAGACAACAACATCTTCATCTTCATCATCATCGTCAAGTGAAGAGACAACATCATCTTCCATCATCTAGTGACGAGACAAAACATCTTCATCTTCATCATCATCGTCAAGTGAAGAGACAACATCATCTTCATCATCATCTAGTGAAGAAACAACAACATCATCATCATCTAGTGACGAGACAACATCATCTTCATCATCATCTAGTGAAGAGGCAATAACATCTTCATCTTCATCATCGTCATCTAGTGAAGAAACAACATCATCTTCATCATCATCTAGTGAAGAGACAACAACATCTTCATCTTTATCATCATCGTCAGGTGAAGAAACATCATCATCTTCATCATCATCTAGTGAAGAGGCAACAACATCATCATCATCGTCAAGTGAAGAAACATCTTCATCATCATCATCTAGTGACGAGACAACAACATCTTCATCATCATCATCTAGTGAAGAAACATCATCATCTTCATCATCATCTAGTGAAGAAACAACAACATCATCATCATCTAGTGACGAGACAACAACATCTTCATCTTTATCATCATCGTCATCTAGTGAAGAAACATCATCATCTTCATCATCGTCAAGTGAAGAAACAACATCATCTTCATCATCATCTAGTGACGAGACAACAACATCTTCATCTTTATCATCATCGTCAAGTGAAGAAACATCATCATCTTCATCATCATCGTCAAGTGAAGAAACATCATCATCTTCATCATCATCTAGTGAAGAGACAACAACATCATCATCTTCATCATCATCTAGTGAAGAGACAACATCATCTTCATCATCATCATCTAGTGAAGAAACAACATCATCTTCATCATCATCTAGTGAAGAGGCAACAACATCTTCATCTTCATCATCGTCATCTAGTGAAGAAACAACATCATCATCGTCAAGTGAAGAAACATCATCATCTTCATCATCATCGTCAAGTGAAGAAACATCATCATCTTCATCATCATCTAGTGAAGAGACAACAACATCTTCATCTTCATCATCATCTAGTGAAGAGACAACAACATCTTCATCATCATCATCTAGTGAAGAAACATCATCATCTTCATCATCATCTAGTGACGAGACAACAACATCTTCATCTTCATCATCATCGTCCAGTGAAGAAACATCATCATCTTCATCATCATCATCTAGTGAAGAAACAACAACATCATCATCGTCAAGTGAAGAAACATCATCATCTTCATCATCATCGTCAAGTGAAGAAACATCATCATCTTCATCATCATCGTCAAGTGAAGAAACATCATCATCTTCATCATCATCTAGTGAAGAGACAACAACATCATCATCTTCATCATCATCTAGTGAAGAGACAACATCATCTTCATCATCATCATCTAGTGAAGAAACAACATCATCTTCATCATCATCTAGTGAAGAGCAACAACATCTTCATCTTCATCATCGTCATCTAGTGAAGAAACAACATCATCATCGTCAGTGAAGAAACATCATCATCTTCATCATCATCGTCAAGTGAAGAAACATCATCATCTTCATCATCATCTAGTGAAGAGACAACAACATCTTCATCATCATCATCTAGTGACGAAACATCATCATCTTCATCATCATCTAGTGACGAGACAACAACATCTTCATCTTCATCATCATCGTCCAGTGAAGAAACATCATCATCTTCATCATCATCTAGTGAAGAAACAACAACATCATCATCGTCAAGTGAAGAAAACATCATCATCTTCATCATCATCGTCAAGTGAAGAAACATCATCATCTTCATCATCATCGTCAAGTGAAGAAACATCATCATCTTCATCATCATCTAGTGAAGAGACAACAACATCATCATCTTCATCATCATCTAGTGAAGAGACAACATCATCTTCATCATCATCATCTAGTGAAGAAACAACATCATCTTCATCATCATCTAGTGAAGAGGCAACAACATCTTCATCTTCATCATCGTCATCTAGTGAAGAAACAACATCATCATCGTCAAGTGAAGAAACATCATCATTCATCATCATCGTCAAGTGAAGAAACATCATCATTCATCATCATCTAGTGAAGAGACAACAACATCTTCATCTTCATCATCATCTAGTGAAGAGACAACAACATCTTCATCATCATCATCTAGTGAAGAAACATCATCATCTTCATCATCATCTAGTGACGAGACAACAACATTTCATCATCATCATCTAGTGAAGAAACATCATCATCTTCATCATCATCTAGTGAAGAGGCAATAACATTTCATCTTCATCATGTCATCTAGTGAAGAAACAACATCATCTTCATCATCATCTAGTGAAGAGACAACAACATCTTCATCTTTATCATCATCGTCAGGTGAAGAAACATCATCATCTTCATCATCATCTAGTGAAGAGGCAACAACACATCATCATCGTCAAGTGAAGAAACACTTCATCATCATCATCTAGTGACGAGACAAACAACATCTTCATCATCATCATCTAGTGAAGAACATCATCATCTTCATCATCATCTAGTGAAGAAACAACAACATCATCATCATCTAATGACGAGACAACAACATCTTCATCTTCATCATCATCGTCAAGTGAGAGACAACATCATCTTCAGCATCATCTAGTGACGAGACAACAACATCTTCATCTTCATCATCATCGTCAAGTGAAGAGACAACATCATCTTCATCATCATCTAGTGAAGAAACAACAACATCATCATCATCTAGTGACGAGACAACAACATCTTCATCTTCTCATCATCGTCAAGTGACGAGACAACATCATCTTCATCATCATCTAGTGAAAGGCAATAACATCTTCATCTTCATCATCGTCATCTAGTGAAGAAACAACATCATCTTCATCATCATCTAGTGAAGAGACACACAACATCTTCATCTTATCATCATCGTCAGGTGAAGAAACATCATCATCTTCATCATCATCTAGTGAAGAGGCAACAACATCATCATCATCGTCAAGTGAAGAAACATCTTCATCATCATCATCTAGTGACGAGACAACAACATCTTCATCATCATCATCTAGTGAAGAAACATCATCATCTTCATCATCATCTAGTGAAGAAACAACAACATCATCATCATCTAGTGACGAGACAACAACATCTTCATCTTCATCATCATCGTCCAGTGAAGAAACATCATCATCTTCATCATCGTCATCTAGTGAAGAAACAACATCATCTTCATCATCATCTAGTGACGAGACAACAACATCTTCATCTTTATCATCATCGTCAAGTGAAGAAACATCATCATCTTCATCATCATCGTCAAGTGAAGAAACATCATCATCTTCATCATCATCTAGTGAAGAGACAACAACATCATCATCTTCATCATCATCTAGTGAAGAGACAACATCATCTTCATCATCATCATCTAGTGAAGAAACAACATCATCTTCATCATCATCTAGTGAAGAGGCAACAACATCTTCATCTTCATCATCGTCATCTAGTGAAGAAACAACATCATCATCGTCAAGTGAAGAAACATCATCATCTTCATCATCATCTAGTGAAGAGACAACAACATCTTCATCTTCATCATCATCTAGTGAAGAGACAACAACATCTTCATCATCATCATCTAGTGAAGAAACATCATCATCTTCATCATCATCTAGTGACGAGACAACAACATCTTCATCTTCATCATCATCGTCAAGTGACGAGACAACATCATCTTCATCATCATCTAGTGAAGAGGCAATAACATCTTCATCTTCATCATCGTCATCTAGTGAAGAAACAACATCATCTTCATCATCATCTAGTGAAGAGACAACAACATCTTCATCTTTATCATCATCGTCAGGTGAAGAAACATCATCATCTTCATCATCATCTAGTGAAGAGGCAACAACATCATCATCATCGTCAAGTGAAGAAACATCTTCATCATCATCATCTAGTGACGAGACAACAACATCTTCATCATCATCATCTAGTGAAGAAACATCATCATCTTCATCATCATCATCTAGTGAAGAAACAACAACATCATCATCATCTAGTGACGAGACAACAACATCTTCATCTTCATCATCATCTAGTGAAGAAACAACAACATCATCATCATCGTCAAGTGAAGAAACAACAACATCTTCATCTTCATCATCTAGTGAAGAGACAACATCATCTTCATCATCATCTAGTGACGAGACAACAACATCTTCATCTTCATCATCATCGTCAAGTGAAGAGACAACATCATCTTCATCATCATCTAGTGACGAGACAACAACATCTTCATCTTCATCATCATCGTCCAGTGAAGAAACATCTTCATCATCATCGTCAAGTGAAGAGACAACATCATCTTCATCATCATCTAGTGAAGAGGCAACAACATCATCATCGTCAAGTGAAGAAACATCATCATCTTCATCATCATCATCTAGTGAAGAAACAACATCATCTTCATCATCATCCAGCGAAGAGACAAATTCATCATCTAGTGAAGTAATTATCATCCCAACAGCTCAGATTCCGACTCCCCAAAGCATAAGTTCACAGATTCATAATGAAAGCAATTCAAGTTCCTATAATGAAGTTACCGATGGCGGTGACGATAATCAAAATTCTGGGCAACTATCTAAATCTGCTCTTTATGGAGTAATAGGAGGAGTATGTGGTTTAGCTTTAGTTGCAATTATAATTGTCGTTGCTGTTATAGCCATTAAGAAGGCAAATAAGGGCCCTGTTAATGACATATCTTCTACTGATAGTTTTTCGTTTGATGAAGATGTTAATATAAATGCAAATAGTCATTTTGATGACATTGAAATTACATTATATCATGATACTAATATGTAAAAAAAATTTTTTAAATCACTAATATTTTCAGATTTTCATATTAGAGTATTTTGATCGTCATTAATCGTTTCTATCTGAATTAAATGCCTAAATTTTCTGCAAAGTTAGTAGACGATCCTTCAATAGAAAAATCATCGAGTGCAATACGATTAATGTGCTTATCTGATACACACGGAGTTCATAACAATATTAATAAAAATACAATATTCCCTGCCGATATACTCCTTTTTGCAGGAGATATGACCCTCTTTGGAAACCCAGAGCATGCAGAATCATTTAAAAATTTCATAACCTCCCTTCCTGTTCAACATAAAGTTATAATTTCAGGAAATTTAGACTTACCTTTTGATTTAAAAAATTATAGTCACTTTACTGAATGGTTTAGCAAATTTTCATATAAAAATGGCCCCGAATCCATAAAAACAACTTTTACAGAGGATCAAGATATAATTTATCTTGAGCACCAAGCAGTTACGATCGAAAACGTTAAAATTTTCGGATCTCCATTTACACCAGCATTTGGAGATTTTGGATTCCCAACTACAAAAGATACGGCTTCGAAATTATGGGAGCAAGTACCAGAGGATACAGATGTTATCCTTTGCCATGGACCACCACATAATATATGCGATATGACATCAACAGGCTTTCATGCAGGCTGCCCTGAACTTCGAAAATCTGTTGAGCGTGTTAAACCTGCAGCTGTTGTCTTTGGACATATTCATGAAGCCCACGGTAATACAATGATCGGTAACACCCTTTGCTGCAATGTTGCAATTGTTAACTCAAATCGCGACGTGGCTTATGGTCCTACGTATATTGATTTGATCCAATTATAATTTATAAACAAACTGTTTATATTTCGTTTATTTAGTTAAATTTCCTTTTGCATTATTAATGGTTACTTATTTTGATAAATTTAGATTAACATATAAAGAAAATATTATCCAGACTATTCCGAAAATTAAAATTCTGTATTTTATTTTATGTAAGTAATCTAAAAAAAGTGCGAATAATTCGATGTAAATTGGTGAGTCTGTTGGAAATATAATGTATCTGATAATTATTGAAAGAATAATATCCAATATTATAATTTCTAATAATGAAATTTGTAATTTCAGGATAAATTGAGATATAGTAATTATATATATGAAATAGTCAAATGTGAACGAAATAATTCTTTCTGGAGCTGGTGAGTAGTATTGCTTTTTGAAAAATTTCAATTCATCTTTCGATTTTTGCGAGAAGGTTGATTCAAAACTTGAGGTATATTTAAAAATTGATGAATTCTGCTTGTTGTGTGATTCATTGGTTTGGAGATCTTGTCGTTTTGTCATTCGCAGACTAACTTTTAGTCTTAAAAAATTGAAAAAAAAAACTTCAAGGGTGCACACGAGAGGATCATGTAAACTTCAGAATTTAGAACCTTATTTTAGGCATTATCTTGGCTACCCATTTAGGCTCGAAAAGCAAAAAATATCAAAAAATACAACTTGACTCCATTATGACCCTTTCATGGAGGTAGTTTTTATCCGCTAGTATTTTCCCTTTGAATCTCTTTACAATTCGAAATCAAATTCAAATCTCAGTAGAAGAAAGGAAGAATCGACTTACTACGGTTGTAATACGAATAAATACATATATTTAATTATTTTTATTTACATAATAATTGTTTGAAGCTCATATTCCATCAAATTTTTAAATAAAAACATTAAAATGTTGAAAATGTTCATATATTTTAATAGGGTTTTGGCACTTTATTGAGGAATTACTACATACATAGTCGAACTGAACTTGATATTTTGAAATTTAAATTATTTATCAAAATTAAAATTTAACTTGAAATTTATAATTATTTAGTCATATTTTGCATAATTCTAAGTAGATTTTGTAAAAAATCAAGAAAGAAAAATTTTAACGTGCTTTATTTTTTCTTTTTTATAATAATACATATTATTATATAATTAACATATTCATAATGTTTCACCCTTTCAAAAATATAATCCTCCTCTCAAATAAACGTACATACGGGTGGCCTCTTTTTTCAAAAAATTAAAATTTGAAATTTTGGGCTCAAATATTAGAGATTTTTTCAACCTTCAACGATATATGTTGTCTATATCAGACCTCCTTTCTTTTTGATACTTAACATTGTTCCTAAATCTTAGCCGTTAAGGCTGTTCTGAAAATATTTTTTTTTTCGAAAAAATTCGAAAAAAATTCTTAAAATTCAAAAATCCCTTAATTCCAGAGGATTTTGGGAAAAAGTTTTTACATGAACATGTGTATATTATATGAAGTATATTGATAAGGTAAAAATCAAATTTTATTGCATATTCATCGAGAAAATAAACTAACGAATCCCTCAAAATTGAGAGGGTAATCCTCCTCCTCTCAAATAAACGTACATACGGGTGCACCCTTCAATATCTTTTGAATATAACAAAGCAAAGTTTGAGGAACGGGCTACCGCAGATAAAGTACAATATCATCATTTAAAGGGTGTCAAGTGTTATTGCTAAAATTGAGTAGGTCAAGGGGATAAAGCCCGATCAGTGTGCCCCAATTTCAATCCTACTGTCTCAATATGCATTAAATCTTCGAGAGCTCTTGTAATATTTTTAATTCCATAACTATCGATTGGGAGAAGTAATACTATCAGAATATCTATAGGGAAATATAACACACTAGTAGATTTACATTCGTATTTATTTATCCACAATCACGTGCCTCATATAATGCTGCTAATAAAAGAAAATATAATTTCCTATTTAAATTTTGGAAAAAACTCAGAGGAATTGTCTTGAACTGAAATTATGTATTCAATTGACTCATATAAAACTCAGATAAAGCCTATACATTATATTCATTTTCTATGTGGAATTAAAAATAATGATTTAAAGCTTGAATTCTGATATAATATTGATTTAACTATTATGACCTGTAAAATAGATCATACTAATAATTTATAATTACGTTGCTGATAGATTATTTTCTTCAAAATACGCCTTCTTCAACATAAATCGTGCAAACATATTTTCCACCGGTGTGAAATTTTTCATCTGAAGGGCTTACATCAAATCTGCACTTTCCTTCTGTTAACAAATATATACCTGAAATAAAAATGCCTATATCAAACATTGAGTAGCTGTTTGAGAGATTGTAGTAATCAAATACCTTGAATTTTCTTTCTGGAATGTTGACATTCATTCTCCATGATTGTCTATTCACAGCTGATGGACTCCATCTAACACATTCAAGGATTTCGTTGAGCTTATTATTATCAGCATTTTGAAGTGGTGCTTGAGTAATTTCATTGAAGTATATGACGGAGAAATCATATCTTCCACTGGACTTGACAAGGTTAATGAGTTTATCCATCATACTTCGTCGTTCGTGGTCAAAACCAAAAGAAACGACACATGGAATTTTAAATCCTGGGAATCGCCTTTCGCATTCTTTTTGTGAATACGTTCCACCAACCCAACATGTGCCAATTCCAATCTGAGTGAGTTTCATTACTGCAATATTAGCTTTAAATGCAGCATCAATGCAGAAATTAACATAATCTGGCGCTCCATTTTTTTCTAAAGGGATTTTAAGAACAATCCACCCAGCCTCATTAGAAATGAAGCCAATACGACCAACTCCAGCACCTGTGATGTCAATACTCGCAAACGTTCCAAAAGGGCCTTTCACTTTATTTGCTTCTTGAACAATTTGTGCAATTTTCTCATGAACATCACTAGTTACACTTCCAGTATATGTTCTAATTGATTGCCTCGTTTTGAATGCTTCAATGAGTGAAAATTCCTTCACTTCTAACATGTGTAAAAATTAAAAAATAAATTTCTTTACATTGAAGAGGCGGTAACATAAAACTAAACAAAACGCGAACCGCAAAAATGTTTCTAAATGTTGAATTTAAATGAATATAGGAGTGATTCATAATTAATAATGTCATATTTTTTCAGAGTCGCGTTCTTTCGTCGGGAAATTGATCACCAAATGTGCAAATTTGTTCACATGACATTTATATATATATATATTTATATATTTAGTAAACGCCAGAAATTAATCTTTTGAAAAATAATACAGTTATTTATAACATTTCCACATACAATTATGAATGTCTTTAAATTGTTATTTGTGTTGTAAACAGAAATTCATCAAAAGTGACACCTCAGAAAAGCTAAAATATTGAATTTTTGGAACTTTTGATAGAGCACGTTTTTAAATATTAATTAAAGTAAATGTATATTTTGTAAAGATTCTTTTTAATAAAAAAAAATAAAATTTTGAAGAAGAACACAAAATTGTTATAGACCGAAAATAGATTTTTTCGGTTTTCTCTTCAAATAATTGAAAGAATGATACTATTATAGGTTTATTATATTATATAGCATATAATCATGCTATAGCCGAAAATTATAAGTTTTGAGAAGATTGAATATAACACAAATAAATTTGAATGTAAGTTAAATTGCTTGTTGTTTTTAATAGCTATTTAATGAGAAATCCAATATTGCAAAATTCAAATTGAATGATTGAAAGAACAGAAAAAGTCATTCTTTTCAATTTCGAATATGTTTCATTGTATTTATAATTATATGGCAAATAAGATATTTAAACTTGATTTTTGAAGGAAAATTCACAAAATTGAATAAATTCAAATAATTTTTATTCAAAAATAAACTAGTTATTTGAGTTTAATACTAATTATCTATTCAAACTACAAAGTTTGTAATTTAAAATATTTTGTGAGATCAGATTGAATTAATTCAAGGTTCTTTTCAATTAATATTAATGACCATATTACGCATTTTCGAACATTCTAAACCAAATATATAAAAATGGGAGACGAATGTTAAATTTGCTAGACATGGGGAAGTTGTCTGCAAAGTTTTGGCTCTTATCTCTAACAAAAAATTAATTTTTAAAAAAATGACCGAATACGTTTCACCGCGAGAAAAAAATAAAAGGCAAGATAGAATTTTCTAGACATAAAGAAGTTGTTTACCGAGTTTTAGCTCTTATCTCTAACAAAAAATTAATTTTTAAAAAAATGACCGAATACGTTTCACAGCGAGAAAAAAATAAAACTGTACACTGATTTTCATTTTCATTTCCAGTCACTTTACTTATTATTTTTTCTTTTTTTCATTTTAATTATAAATTATTTCATAATACGTTTATTTACGTTACCATTTTCTTTATTCTTTTGAATTCCATACTAGACACTTATAGAATATTTTGATTGTTAACGTACTTCATTAGAATGAATCCTTACAAAGGGTATGTCGATCGAATTTACCTAATTGGTATTTCCAATCAGATTGAAGAAGGTAAAATGACATGGGAAGAAGCTTGCACCCATGTTCCCATCGCCCCAACCCTTCAATCAAATGATTTCAAATATTTAGATGTTTCAAAATCTTTTTTACAAAATCAATTTAGCTTACAGAATATCCCATTGCCTAAAGGCAAGAAAGGTCGTAGGGTCAATCCCTACGACCAAATCAAAGCTCTTGCTGTGATACATGACCACTGGGCCTTTCCCTGTGGTCAAACAAAACAATGGAAACGTTTGAAATTACAACAAATTGATGTATCTTATAGAGAAGTACGCAGATACTTCAAAGAAAATCATTTCACCAAGACGCGATTAGAGCATGCCGGGCCAGAAACAGCAGTAAGATATTGGGCGCTTTCACCCAATCTTATCTGGCACGCAGATGTTCATTATTTTAGGGGTGTTCGTGGCCAGTATATTTATGGCATAATCGACGATTTTAGCCGCAAAGTCCTAGCGTGTATACAAATACCAGATATGCTGGCAGCGACGACAGCGAACGTTGCGGCTTCCGCCTTCATTGAATTTGGCGCCCCTTATTGTTTCTGGACTGACAACGGTTCAGAAAATAGGGGCGCCTTTCAAGATCTACTTGATCTTTGGGGCGTTCAATGGCGGCATACAGACTCTCATTCTCCCTACCAAAATGGGAAGATTGTGAGATTCTGGCCGACATTGGAGCGCTGCCAAAGCATTCAGGCTATTCCTGCCTTTATTTGGGAGTACAATAATAACACACCGCATGAAGATCTCCTAATTAATCCATTAACTGGAACAAATTACACGCCAAATCAAATGTATCAGCTGAAACCGAAATACACAAAGAGATTGGGACAAAGTTGCAATTCGGCACTTTTTGTAAAAAAAATGGGGTCATACTCATAATGAATAGAGACTTATAGCCAAGTCTTGATATCATGCAGGGAGAATATACATAGATAAGCAATTATATTTTATAGTAGTAGTATTCAGAAATTCTTACAATTTACAATACAATTTTCAAAAATGGATAAAGACTAATAGCCAAGTCTTGATATCATGCAGGGAGAATATACATTGATAAGCAATTATATTTTATAGTAGTAGTATTCAGAAATTCTTACAATTTACAATACAATTTTCAAAAATGGATAAAGACTAATAGCCAAGTCTTGATATCATGCAGGGAGACTCTCTACAAATACAAAAATTGATTATCATAAGGAAATACAAATTTATCAATTTTCATGTGAAAATTACATAAATTTGTTCTCCAATAAATAGCAATAATACTTTGAATGTTATATTAAGTAATATAGCTTCAGGTAAATAAGCTTACACTTCAAAAATATACTGTTTATTCATTAATTTTAAAAAAATTCCAAATTATCTAATCTTTGCTTACTCTTCTTTAAACTTCTTGTCCAAATTTAATATTGCCTTCAAAGATGGAATAAGGACATTAGGTTCAATCCTTCGGCTTTCGACAATTTCCAAAATGTGTTGAATTAATTTCAAACATTCATCGTGTTTTGAAGCTCTTTGCTCAACAATCTGATTACCTGCCCTTGTAAGAATTCTTACTGCTCTTTCTTCATTCAAAACATTAGCGACTTGAACCTTAATAATCGCATTTGGAATCACAACAGTGATGAGAGTTATGACGATGTCATCAATGCGCTCATTTTTCTTACCCAAGAAAAATGTTTGCTTTAATTGATGAAAGTGTGATTCCGCAATGTTATTCGTGGAATCACCTTCTCCACGATATAACATCATCCAATGTTCTTTGGTTCTTCTCCATTGTTTATCGAAATACTTCAAAGCGCGCGGTTCTTCTTCTTCTAACATTGTTGTCAAGAACTCATATGTTTCATCAGACTCTTCAGCCAGCTTTTCTGCATTTGTTGCATCTGCACGTAATGTCAAAAAGTCCATTGCTAAATAGAAGTTCTCAAAATTCTGTGGATTGTCAAAATAGCTTCCAACTTTTGCACATGCGCGTAAAACATGCACAGCGCACCAACTGAGCTGCGCAAGAGGAAATCCGTCCTCAATTGCGCGAGCAATGTTTAGCGCACAGTCAGCGCTCCAATGCTGTGGATCCAGGTGCACAAACTCACAGAATTTCACCAAACATTCTTGAATTTTTTCAGATGTCTGAGGGTTCACTAAAAAATAGCAAAAGGGGAAAATTGTGTTTTGACTTGTTTTCATTATTACTGCAAACAATTGGATCTTTCCTTTAATTAAAGAATGAGTGGAATCGACGTGGAGAGGGTTATCAATGCTATGCACCAATTCTTTTGCAGCAAAAGGTGCATATATGATTGTAAACTCGGAAAAATCTCCATTGTAATCAAATTGAACGAGATCATCTGGGCACTCTTCCTGTAAATTATTCAAAAATGCTTCCAAAGAAGTGTAAGGATCGTTTGATAATCTTTGTGCAATAATCTCATCAAGGCGATAAAATTTGTGCTTTAAAGCATCAGTAGACTGCGCGAAAAGTTTCATCGTTTCTTTGTTATTCGTATCAATTCCGAACTTATCAAAAAATGCTTTTTGAGCAAGAAATTGCTTTCCACCGTTTTTAATATAAAGTTCGATCCATTTTTGATAAAATTTACTCGCGTAATGTGAACCCATTTCAACTCCTATATGATGGCAATGTTCTTCATTAACTTTGCTTATAGTAAACACTCCATTTTGTTCTTCAACCCTAAATTTTGCCTTGCATAGGGGATACGAACATGAATAAGTGACATATTGCTTTGGAGATCCCGTTCTTCTTCTGTATGGGACACCGCCCTTGACTTCCTGTTTAATACCAAAAGCAATAAGCTCCTCTAAGTCCACCGAAATCATAAAAATGAAGTGATTTTGAAAAGAGTTAACAAAATTCAAATCGAATGGGGGACAAACTCGCCCATTGTCACTTTTTCATTAACCTTAAACTTGTAATTTTCATTATTTTTAATTAACCTTATTTCTTTCCCAATTCCTGATTTATTTTATTCACTTACTATTAAAAGTCACATTTTAATAAAATATAATAATTTATTTATAGCATTTTTTACTATACTGTAATAAAAAATTAATTATAATAAATTAAATGTTTATTAAATCAAATGTTTTCTTTGCAATAATATTTTTAATGTTGAGTAAACAATGTTGGGATCAAGTGTATCATTTTTCAGACCTTTCTGAACAGCTTCAAGCATACTGATGCATTCGACTTTTTTAAATTGTGTCATTTCTTCGAAATCTCTTGTGACTTTTTTGATAACTTTAACACTTCTCTCTGAATCCAGACCTTTAATTTGCAACTTAATCAGGAATGAAGGAACAACACTGGAATATAACTCGATTACAAGTTCATCGAGTCGAAGATTTGGTTGTACACCACTTGTATGTGCCGGATACCATTGTGTCAAATTTTTTCTGAAATTAACTTTAAAAGTACTAAGTAAGATCATTTATTTTTGCATAATAT